GGGATACCGGGACTGCGGGATACCGCACTGCGGGATTCCCCCAAATCCCACGGGAAATAGGGGATTCCCCACTAATCCCGCCCTTCCCCCCGCTGGGGGATTCCCCCCTTTAATGGGGACCCCCCTGGCATGGAGGGGCTCCCCGAAATCCCCTAAAGCTGGGGGGGGACCCCGGAAATATTTTGGGGTCCCCTCAATTCCCCCTGATCCCATGGGGCTGATTTGGGGGGAGATGAGGGGACACTGGGAATGGGATTGGGAATAGGATTGGGAAGCGGAAAGGGGAACAGGGAATGGGAACAGAGAATGGGAATGGGGCACAGAGATGGGAATGGGGAACAGGGAATGGGAACAGGAATGGGGATGGTAAGTAGAACAGGGAATGGGAACAGGAATGGGGATGGGAAAAGGGAATGGGGAATTTAACAGGGAATGGGGATGGGAAAAGGAAGGGAATTGGGAAAGGGAATTCCCAGGGGACACCACTGGAATTCGGGAAGGGGAATTCCCGGAATGGAAACGGGGGGGACACACTCCTGGGGGTTCCTCATTCCAGAAGCAGTGGGATGGGGGATTCCCCTCCTCAGCAACAACCTGGGGGGGGGGTCCCAAAGGGAGAGAACCCCCCCCAGTCCAAGCAGGAATCCCACCCCTAATTCAAGTGGGATCTTCCACATTTTCAGGGATAAAACTGAGCAAGACAGGGAAAGTGTCCCCCCAAACCCTTCCCAAATTATTCCTTCCCCAATTTAATCAGATTTTGGTTTTTTTTCTTTAAATTTTTAATTGAATTCAAACACACCAAACTCACACAAAAGGGGGGGGGGGTGTCACTCCTCCTTGGCTGGATTTGGGAATTCTGGGATGTGGGAACAGTGCCCAACCCAGCGGGGGCAGTCCCAAAAAGAGGGAAAAGGATGAGCCTGGATGAATCCCATGGGATTTTGGGAAGTCACATGGCACCTCCAGACCAATTCCTGGGAAGGAATTCCATTCCCAAAGGATGGGAATCCCTCCTCTGGGTGGATTTCGGGCTCCAGCATTCCAGAGGACACTGGGAATGTCACCTGGAGTGCCTGTCCCCCCCAGGAAAGGCTCTTCCCACTCCTCCCTGAGGGATTTTCCCTCTTCCCAACTCTTCTGCCCCAGTTCCAAAGGAAATGGCACCAGGGATTTTGGGGATAGGCCCATCCCAAAGAAAATGGCCCCAATCCCAAAGGAAACAGGAACAGGGATATCCCAATCCCAAAGGAAATGGGAGCAGGGATTTCAGGGATATCCCAATCCCAAAGGAAATGGGAGCAGGAATTTCAGGGATATCCCAATCCAAAGGAAATGGGAACAGGGATTTCAAGGACATCCAAATCCCAAAGAAACAGGACCAGGGATTTCAGGGATATCCCAATTCCAGAGAAACGGGAGCAGGGATTTCAGGGATATTCCTAAGGAAACAGGACCAGGGATACCCAGGGGAGATCCAGGGTCTAGAATCACTTCAGGTTCACACCCCAGGAGCATTTTCCATGTGACAACTCCAGAACTCCAAGGAGGGAATGCCAAGGGACACCTGAGAGCCATTGAGAGCCGCTTTTCCCAGGGAATTTCAGGAAGGAGAAGGTGGCATCAGTCCAACCTTGAGCTCGCCCCAAATCCACGGGGGGGAGAGAGAGAGAAAAAACCCCAAAACCCCGCAGGGGTAGAAGGGTCCTGGTGAGGATCCCAGTCCGGGGAGGCACAGGGCTATTGGTGGCTGTTGTAGGGTTTGTGGCGCTGGTTCAGGGGGTTCTCGGGGGACCTCATCCACTCCTTCTTGAGCAGCTGGCGCAGCTGGCTCAGCCGCATGTTGGGGTTGTCCCGCCGCAGGCGCGGCAGCTGCAGCTCCTCGAAGGCGGCGAAGGCGGCGCGAAGGCGGCGCTCAGGGTGGCGCTCCAGGGGCTGGGACACGCTGGGGACATGACGGACAAGGTCACAGGGGGAATGGGGACAGGGCTGGGACATGCTGGGGATGGGGAGGGACATGGTCAGGAGGGGATGGCAACATGGGGGGGACATGGTCATGCTGGGGGACAGGGAGGGACATGGTCTTGGGGAGACAGGGAGGGACAGGGACACAGTCAGGGGGGATGGGGACAGGGAGGGACAGGGACATGCAGGGGGATGGGGAGACATCCCACAAGCCACAGGCTTGAGGAAGGGATGGGGACAGGGCTGAGACACACCAGGGAACAGGGAGGGACACAGTCATGGGGGACAGGGACAGTGAGGGACAGGGACATGGTCAGGAGGGAATGGGGACAGGGACGGACATGATGGGAGGGACAGGGAGAGGGATAGACACAGACCCAAACAAATGGCCCTGATCCCAAAGGGAATGGCACCAGGGACAGCAGAGATGGCCCCGATCCCAAGGGGATGGGGACATGGAGGGACACAGTCCCAAGGGCACAGGGACAGGCATGGAGCTGGTCTCGAAGGCAACAGCCCCGATCCCAAAGGGAATGGCACCAGGGATGGCCCAATTCCAAACAAAACGGCCCCAGGGACAGCAGGGGCAGCTTCATCCCAAAGGAAGTGGCCCCAGTCCCAAAGAATTTCCTGTATTCCCCAATCCCACAGGAATCCCCCACGGATTTCAGGGACACCCCAACCCCACAGGATTTCCCGGATCCTCCAATTCCACAGGAACCCCCATCCCAACCCGTGCCTGCCCAGAACCCCAGGACACAGCGCCCCCTCCCCAGCCACCCCAAATCCCAGATTTCCCGCCGGGATCCCAACTCCCAGGGGACCATCTTTGGGGGATGGTTCGGGGGTATTTGGAGGAGATTCGGGGTTGTGGCACACCTGAGGGCGGCGATGGCGTCCTCGATGCTGCGCGCCTCCACAGAGCCCTCCTCGGGCAGCCGCCGGTTCAGGTTCTCCTCCAGCGGCAGCTCCAGGTGCGATTTCTCCTTCTCCCCTGCCGGGAAAACCGGGAATGCTAAGGAACTCCCTCGGGAAAAACGGATCATGCCTCTGGAAAACTCGGGAATTCCTTTAAAACCCCCCAGGGAAAGTCCGTTTTCCCCTCTAAAAACCTTCATTTTTCCTCTAAAAAATTCAATTTTTCATCTGGAATTTTCCCCTCTAAAAAACTTCGCTTTTTCCTCTGGAAATTTTTTTTTCCTTGGAAAACTCAATTTTTCCTAAAAAAAAAATCAAATCAGTTTTTCCTCTGCAAAAGGAAATGTAGGAATGGGAAATGTGGGAATGGGAAATGTGGGAATGGGATAGACATGGAAAATCAAGGACCAGGAGTGTAAATCACAGAATTCTACAGAATTCCACATCCAGAAAAGAGCTTTGGGATCAAACACAACACCAAACCCCATCCCCAAAGCGCCACATCCAGGATTTCTTGGGGACACTTGCAGGGAATGGGAACCCCAAGCTTCCCTCAGCTATTCCCAAGGTGTCTCCTGGAGCAGCAGCAGCTCCCCAGCTCAGAATTACAGAGGAATTCCCAAACCTGCATCTGCGTTTTCCCTCTGCTGCTGCTCCTTGCGGACATTCTCCTCGATCTGGGCCCGGGTGATTTTCCCAGGATTTCCCTGCTTGGGGCTTTTCCCTTTGAGCTTGGAGTCCTCTTCCTCCAGCAGCCGCTGCAGCTCCTTGCGGCGCTCCAGCTGCTCCAGGCGCCGCTTCTCCCGCTCCTCCTGGGAGGGAACATGGATTTGTGGATGGATTGATGGATGGATCCATGGATGGACCCGTGGATGGATTCATGGATAGATCCATGGATTGATTCATGAATTGATTCATGGATGGATCCATGGAGGGATCAACAGAATGACCCATGGATTTGTGGATGGATCCATGGAGGGATTCATGGATGGATCCATGGATTGATTCATGAATGTATCCATGGATTCATGGATGGATCCATGGAGGGATCAACGGAAGGACCTATGAATTCGTGAATGAATCCATGGATGGACCCATGGATGGACCCACGGATGGACCAGCTCCAGCTGCTCCAGGTGCCGCTTTTCCCACTCCTCCTGGGAAGGGCACACAGATCCATGGGGGTCACAGCCACCCCAGGAACCTCCTCCCTCTCTGGATTTCGGGATCCCCACCTTCCTCTGCTCCTTTCTCAGGACGTGTTTGTCCTCGTCCTTCCAGAGCTCATCCTCCAGCTCCTGCTGCCGCCGCGCCTCCGCCGCCGCCTTGGCCTCAGCCCTGCGGGCGCGTGCCGCCGCCGACTTGCTGTTCTCTCCCTGGAATTTCTTGGGCATCCCTCAAAACCTCTGGGAAACCGGGAAAAATCAGGGTTCTTCAAGGATCTGGGGTTGGATTTTTGGGGTTTTTTTTTATGGGGTAAGCTGGGATTGAGGTTTGGGGTCAGGCAGGCAGAGCACCCTTGGAAATGTGCAGGGATGGGGATTAAAAGTTCCCAAGGTTTCCTTCCCCAGTTTCCCTCAGGAATTCTTCAGCCCTTTCCCAGAAATTCTCCAGCCCCTTCCCAAAAATTCCCTAGCCCCTTCCCAATTTTCCTCAGGAATTCTCCAGCCTCTTCCCAGATTTTAGGGATTTGGAGGGGGAAAAGTCCCCAAAACTGAGGAAAAGACTGGGATAGTCCCCCCAAATTTATCCCAACCTCAGGTCAGGATACCCCTGGGACAAATTTCCCAGATTTCCTCCAGATCCTGGCTGATCCCAAATCTGCTCCCTCCAGGCCAAACTCCAGCCTCCCAGCCCATGGAAAAAGCACCTGGAAGTCCAAAAAAACCCGAGCCAGGAAAACCCGGGATTGCCTCTATCCCGATCCAGGGGGATCCAGAGGAAGAGGAGAAACTCCTTTAATTTGGATAAACAGCCCCAAAAACGGGCTGTGATTGTTATCCACGGTGGGAAAAGTCAAATCCAAGGAAAACAGGCGATTTCAAATCAACCAGACACGGGGGAAATCACAGCTTGGGGAGCTCTAGGGCGGAATCTTTGATTTTAATGGCAGATAATTATTAATTAATTTAAACTGAAAATAAATGACTGTTCCATTCCCGAGGTTTGGGAATGGACTCAAGGCCTGGGATGGACTCATTGCTTTTTCCTTCCTAGAACATCCTCGGAGCCATCCTAATATTCTTTTTCCTGCATTTTCACACTCCCTAAAATCCTTTTTCGCGCTATCCGAGCCTGCCCAGGAGCGGCATCGGGGCAGGGCCTCACCTGAGGGGCGGCAAAAAGGGACCCCCGAG